GTTGGGTTGGTAATTTGAGGTCTTTTTATTAATATCTTCTTGATATAGGCATTTAGCACTATAAAATTCCCTCTTGGGGGGATAGACTAGAGAGGCCGGCGGGCGCACAGGCGAGCGGGCCGGGAGTGGCCGAAGAGCCTGCAGCAGCAGCGCAGCGGACCCGGGCAAGGAGGTCAACGCTCCTGGAAACTTGGGCGCGCCTCCGCGCCAGGAGCGATGAAGACTGTCGCGCCCCGGTCGCGCCCTGGATGCGGTTCTACTCCAACAGCTGCTGCCTGTGCCGTCATGTCGGCGCCGGCACCATCCAGCTCGGTGTCTGGTACCTGATCATCAATGCCGTGGTACTGTTGATTTTGTTGAGTGCCCGGCTGATCCGGATCAGTATCACTTTTCAAGTTCTGAACTGGGAGGCGACTTTGAGTTCATGGATGGTGCCAATATGTGCATTGCCATTGTGATTTATCTTCTTATGATACTGATATGCACTATGGCTAATTACGAAGCATACAGGCAACACGCAACCTGGATCATCCCATTCTTCTATTACCAGATCTTTGATTTTTCTCTGAACACCTTGGTTGCAATCACTGTGCTTGTTTATCCAAACTCCATGTAGGAATACATACGACAACTGCCTCCTAATTTTCCCTGCAGAGATGATGTCATGTCAGTGAATCCTACCTGTTTGGTCCTTATTATTCTTCTGTTTATTAGCATTATCTTAACTATTAAGGGTTACTTGATTAGCTGTGTTTGGAACTGCTGCCGATACATCAATGGCAGGAGTTCCTCCTATGTCCTGGTTTATGTTACCAGCAATGACACTACGGTGCTCCCACCCCCCTATGATGATGCCACTGTGAATGGTGCTGCCAAGGAGCCGCCGCCACCCTAGGTGTCTGCCTAAGCCTTTGAGTGGGTGGAGCTGGGGGCAGCAGCTTGACTTTTAGGTACCTGAGCAGTAGTTCTGTTATTTCACTCTTGAGGTGAGCTCTCTGCGCTTGTTTGTTGCTGAAATGCTACTTTAAAAAATTTAGAAGCTAAGTTGAAACCTGTAGTTTTCCTCAACATACGCTTTGCTAAAACACTGTGATAGATTCGCTGTAGAATACTTCCTGTAGGATTAGGGGTGTAAAGGGCTTCACCAACCTTCTTTAGGCATTGAAACTTCCCCCAAATCTGGATGGACCTAGAGTCAGAGAAGTCTGCTTTCCTACCTGCGGGACCCCAAAGTTGGGCCATTAGTCACACGTTTCTCTCCCTTCCCTCTCTTTTGAAAGTGTAAAATAAAACAAAAAGATAGATAACTTTTCTTAAACCATTCCAATGTAGAGAACAATACCTTATGAAAACAGGAATGCCAATTGTGTAATCGTTGTTCTAATTAGGTAAATAGAAGTCCTTATGTATGTGTTTCAAGAATTTCCCCCATAACATCCTTTTTGACTTAAGTTCACTGACAGTTTGCATTTGGTGGTAAAGGATTTTCTCCATGGCCTGACTTAAGACCATTGGAAAGCACCAGGCAGGGGGAGCAGTAACCACCTGATGTCTGTTCTCCTGCATACCATGTCCAGGGTCATGGGGCAGTGTGCCTCGCCTGTGTTAGGGGGTGAAACGGATGTGTTTGGCGCTGCATGGGATCTGGTGCTTCTCTTCTGGATTCATATCCTCACTCAGGGCGCACTTTTACTGAGTGTTCTGCCCTAGCCTGGTTCAAGGAAGTCATCCAACTGACTTTATCAAGTGGAATTGGGGTATGTTTGTTGTATATTTGCCTGATGACATGGAAAATGTTTTCCTCCTTCTTCCCCTGCAAAATACATTCTACTGCTTTGAACTCCAAGTACGCCTAATCACCTTTTAAAGTGTAAAAGTCTTCAGAAAAATGAGGATTGCTTTCCTTTTATGTGCTTATTATCTTAACTACCTAAATTGCAAGGGATTTTTCTATATTCATATGTTCAAAAGTCGGCAACTCTCCTGTTGGTTCGTTATTGAATGTGCTGTGAATGAAGTCTTTTGCAATTAAAATGAGATTCGCCCACAACCAAGATGAAAAAGAAAATCCCTCTTAACACTACTTTTGCTACATTCCAAATGTTTTGATATGTTGTGTTATGTCTCTATTTTTGTATCTGTCAAAGAATTTTTTGACTTCTGCCTTAATTTTGTTGTTTAACCAAAAGTCAGGAGCAAGTTGTTTAGTTTCCATTTATTTGTGTGGTTTTGAGAGTTCCTCTTGGTATTGATTTCTATTTTTATTCCACTGTGGTCCAAGATTCTTGGTATAATTTTGATTTTTTTTTGAATTTATTGAGATTTACCTTATGACCGAGCATGTGGTTGATCTTAGAGTATGTTCCATGTGCAGATGAAAATAATATATTCTATGGTTGTTGGGTGCATTGTTCTATAGATGTCTCTTAGGTCTAATTGGTCAACTGTCAAATTTAAGTCCATAATTTCTTTGTTAGTTTTCTGCCTTGATGATCTGTCTACTGATGTCAGTGGGGTGTTGTCCCCTGCTATTATTGTGTGGCTGCCAAAATCTTTTCTTAGATCCAGAAGTACTTGTTTTATAAATCTGGGTGCTCCAATGTTGGGTGTGTATTTATTTAAGATGGTTAAATTTTCTTGTTAAATAGAACCCTTTATCACTACGTAATGCCCTTCTTTATCCTTTTCTACTGTTGTTGGCTTAAAGTCTATTGGATCTGATTCAAGAATAGCAACTTCTGCTCTTTTTTGTTTTCCGTTTGCATGATAAATCTTTCCTTTACTGTGAACCAACAAGTGTCATTACATGTGAGACAGGTGTCTTGAAGACAGCAGGATGGGTCTTGTTAAATCGAATTTGCCGCTGTTTGTGTTTTAAGTGCAGCGTTTAGGCCATTTACATTGGAGGTTAATATTTGTGTGTGAGACTGTGTTCCTGCTTGTTTGATTTCTTTTTTTCTTTTGAGTCTTGCTCTGTTGCCCAAGCTGGAGTGCAGTGGCGAGATCTTGCCTCACTGCAAACTTCGCCTCCCGGGTTCACGCCATTCTCCTGCCTCAGCCTCCTGAGTAGCTGGGACTACAGGCACCTGCCACCATGCCTGGCTAATTTTTTGTATTTTTAGTAGAGATGGGTTTCACCATGTTAGCCAGGATGGTCTTGATCTCCTGATCTCGTGATCCGCCTTTAGCAACCTCTTGCCTGGATGATTGGGATCCTGGGCTAGTCCCTTCTCCAGGCATATGTGAAAAAAAAAATCTCAGGACCCCTAACTTACTAAGCCAGAGGGAAATATCAAGCTGGGAAATGGATCATGCAAACCTGCCCCCCGAGGTTTGTTTCTAAATAAGATAGCTACAAAGATAAAAAGCCATATACCATCCTCACAATTTGCCCACAAGGAAATTCCTTGTGAGCCTCAAGATCCTTACCCTAAAACAGTTCTATTGAATTTCACCCTGGCAGTGTAATTGATAGCTTATCTTCACAGGTGTGGGAAAAATGACAGAACATAAAGTCATCCCTCTGCTCACCCAAGACAAATCCATATCTGATTGCTTCCTCTGCCCTATTTTTGTGATCTTATGTAAAAATGCAGATTCACTGAGCCACATGAAGGCATAAGTGACTATTTCTTCTACTCCCCTCCCACATGAAAATTGTGTATTCAGTGAAAGATCGATCAAAGACTCAAAAGGATGCAATCACTTGTCTCTTATCTACTGACACATTTATAAAGTATTTCTTCCTCTTCTCCCAATATCCACTGTTTCTCCTTCAAATATTGAAGCCCTCAAAATAATCTTTGGAGAAAGGCATAGATCTACCTCCTGGGCACACATCCTTAACTTTGGCCAAATAAACCTAAAATGATTGAGACTCGCCTTGGTCACTTTCATTGATTTACACAGGCCTGATCATCCTGCTGTGGTGGTGTCCTCCTGGGCCTAGTGAAACAAATACTGTCAGTGGCTCAACAATGTTGCACAGAGATTGTGTCAGTCAAGGTGTCACACGGATCTGAGAGACAAACTTTTGCCTCCAGATCCAGGGAGGTCGGTGGGCACATGAAATGAACTAGCTTTGCTAAGGGGGATATCTGGGTTGTGGGGCAGATGGCAGCACAGGTTCTCGCATGGCCTTGGCTGCTCAGCAATCTTATTGACCTCTAGGCATAAACCAAGGGCAGAGTGCTTTTGGATGTCCCTCAGCTTTGGTGTGACATGGGTAATGTACAGATGAGACTTAATCCATTTTGGGCAGGTTTCTGAGTCTTGAAGGACCACCTCTCCATGAATCCTGGGCATCTGTTGTCCCTTGCTGCCTCTCTGTGAATAATAAAGTTGCTTTACTAAAACTCACGTGAATGTTCTGTCTTACTGAACTCATGAACATGGTAAAGTAACCCAGGCATGGCGAACTTCCCTCACACACAGTGATTACCCTACTCCAGCTTTCTAGGTCTTTGTAACAGCCAAGTTGGAAAGTGTGTTGGGAACGCAAAGGGAAGGCATAGTAGTATTGCTCTCTTCTTTTTTGAAAACCTTGGAATCTTTTTTGAAAATTTATCCTCTGCTCCAGTGATGAGCTTTGCATCCCAGAATGACTTAGGAGGAGATCTCCCTTCCTGTCTCCTTAGCTGCATACAGATCTTTAAGTTGATATTCCATTTGCCAAAAGGAGCTGGTAACCTCATCTGTTAAAACAAGACACCCATGCTGTAAAGTTTGTTCTCCTGGTCTTTAATTAGGGAGAAGCAGAGTAGAGCTAAACCTGAAGGCTGGGCCCTGGTTCAGCGCTAAAAAACGTGCAGGGCACCCATGTGCGGGTGGGTGGGGTGGGGGTGATTTTGTTTCAGGCTGAGCAGGAGGGTAAAATTCGAGCTGGGTACAATCTGGGCTGCTCCTGTGGCAGCCAAAGCTACAGGTTTGAAGCTTCTGTTGAGCAACAGAGTACTTTACATAAATTGCCTCAAGATGAATCAGAGATTTCTTCACCCAAGGGGGAAGATGAAGCCTGCACTGATGATAAAACCTTCCTTGGCTCAGTGCCCTTCACCACTGATGGCTTTTTGCTGTAGCTCCACATTCCTGTGCATTGAGGGGTAAGTGCCTTTTCCTTGGATGGGTTCTTAGGGGGTCTACAGGGTAGTGACTGCAGTGAAATCACAAGGTGTTGGAAGCCACAACCCTCCACTTGCCTGAGCACCTCTGGGGTGACATTGCATTTTAGACCCAAGTAAATCAGCTCCTGTGCTAGGTAGACTCAGTCCCATGACTTAAGAATGGCTAAACAGGGGTGAGCTATGGACCATTTGTAGGGGACATGTGGCCATAGTGCTATCACCTGAGGAAAGCAAACAGCCTGGCCAATCACAGAACCCTTCCTAAGGGCGCTTGAGTAAGCAATACTCTCCAAGTTATACTCTCCGGTGGATGAGGTGGTATGGAACATGGGCAACTGAGGCTGATTCTTTTAGACATTAGACAGTATTATATGTTTTCTCCTCCTCATCCTATCCATACATGAGAAGTTCACCATGGATCAAACAGAGCAGAGAGACCACAAATAGATATGGAGGATGTTATGTTTTCTTTAGGCCCTTGATTCAGAAAGAAAGGGGAGAGTGGATGTTGAGGGGTGGGGGAGAAACTGGCGCTAGATCTCTCTTGTTTCCTTGAAGGTTAACGTTAGGCTGGGAAGATGACAAAACTTGAAGAGTACCTGGAGGGAATTGTCAATATCTTCCACAATCTCAGTTTGGACGGGGCATTTTGACACCCTCTCTAAGGGTGAGCTGAAGCAGCTGCTGCCAAAGGAGCTTGCAAATACCATCAAGGTAGGTTTTGCCCCTCTCACTGCAAACTTGCCCACACTCCTGCACTGAGGAGAGTGGCAAGGCCTGGCAGAGGATGGTGGGACAAGGACTGGGGTGGAGTTGGCCCCAGTTTGAGCTCCCAAAGGATGCTTTCCCCACTGCTGTGGGAGAGGGCCTTTGCTTCCCTCTCTCAATAACTCACTTAAGGCTCTACTCAGTTCCTCTCTCTGAGTCTGTTTCCTTATATGTAAAATGGAGAGAGGCAGGGCACGGGAGGGGTTGAATGAGTGAGCAGAAGAGTACCTTCCAGGTCAAGACTTGTTAATTCCCGGGTGGTTCATGACCATTGTGTCCTCTGTTTTGTTACATTGGATTCTCCAACACAGTGTTGGCTGACGAGTTAATGCGCCTGGGCCTCCCTAACTTGAGCTCTGAGGGACAAGAGGCCTAAGAAAGGGTCTTGTGTGGAGGTTCTGAACTCAAGGTCTCTGTTATCCTTTTTTCCTAGAATACCAGGGACAAAGCTGTCATTAACAAAATATTCCAAGGCCTGGATGCTAATCAAGATGAACGGGTCGACTTTCAGGAATTCATATCCCTGTCAGCCATTGCACTGAAGGCTGCCCATGACCATACCCACAAAGGGTAGGTAGCTCTCTGAAGGCCTTTTACCCAGCAATGTCGTCAATGAGGGTCTTTCTTTTCCCTCACCAAAACCCAGCCTTGCCTGTGGGGAGTGAGAGTTAATAAATACACTCATGAAAAGTTCTGAATAGTGTCTGTGCACTTTTTTCTTTCCATGCCTGTGGTTCCCAGACTTGATCACACCTTACCCCTGCTCTTCTGGCACCCTAATCTAGATCCCTTAGAACTCCTGCTCCATTTGTTCATTTGATAACCAATTATTTATTGATTGAATTATTTGTTGAATGTCCACTATTCATTCATTCATTTATTCATTCACTCAACAAATGTTCACTGAGCATCAGAGACCAAAGATACAAAGTCCTTGTCTTCTTAGAGCTTGTATATTATTGGGGAGAGGATAGAAAATAAATGAATAGACAAGCAAATAAAGATACATTGTATGGCTGGCCCTCGTGGCGTGTGCCTGTAGTTCCAGTACTCAGGAGGCTGGAGTGAGAGGATTGCTTGAGTCCGAGAGTTTGAGGCTGTAGTGTGCTATGATTGTGCTTGTGAATAGCTATTGAATTCCAGCCTGGGCAACATAGCAAGATCTTGTCTTTAAACATATATACATATATATATATATATATAAAAAATATAATATGACATGATATCATATGACATGATGTGATCATATGATACAATAGTAGTTAATGATAAGTTATATGAAAAAAACTAATGTAGAGAAGTAGAGTTGCGGAGGAAAGGGAAGGAAGGGGATGTTGGTTTGGATGGAGTGGTCAGGGTGTACATCTGAGCAGAAATCTGAAAGAAATGAAGAAGAGTGACTTGCATATGTCTAGGGGCCAAGAGTTCCTGGCAGTGAGTAGCCAAGGCCCTTGGTGGGCACATACCTGACCTGCTCAAAGAGTAGCACAGAAGCCAGTATACCTGGAGTACAGTGACTGAAATGGGGAGTGGTGGGGAATATGGGCCTTTAAGTATCAGGAAGCAGATAACAGCAGCTTGTAGATCATGGGGAGGACTTTGGACTTTATTCTAAATGTGCTAAGGAGACACTGAGGGATTTTGACCAGGGGAGCGAAATGATTCCATTTATGCTTTGAAGGATTACTTTGGCTGCTTCTGCGGAGAACAGATTGTAGGGCACAGACAAGCGTGGAAGCTAAGCAGCTAAGAAGAGACTCCCCAGGGCAACCCTGTTCAAGAGAAATATAATATGTGTAACTTAAACTTTACTAGAAACTATATTTAAAAAGGTAAAAATAAAGGGGAAATTAATTTTAATAACATATTTTGTTAGCCTAATAGATCCAAAAAAATCTCTTCAGCTATATAAAACTATTGTTGAGATAGTTTACATTCTTTTCTTTCATTTTAAGACTTTGAAATCCAAAGATTCACATATGACCATGTTTTAAGTGCTCAGTAGTCATGTATAGATCATGGCAACCATATTGGATCCTGAAGCCCTAGATCGTTTCAGAGACGGAATGGGGCTGGACTAGGGTGGTGATAATGGTAGTGACAAGGGGTGGTCAGATTATCAATACATTTCAAAGGTGGAAATTGAAAAATCAAGGGTTACTCCAAAGGTTTTCCCCTAAGACACTGGGCTGGATGCTAGGGATACAGAGATGAAAGAACAAGTCCTTGCCTTAGATGTTCATCTTTGGTTGGGGAAGGCCTGAATCAGGAGGAATCCCCATGCCATGTCATCTATGTTTTGGCAGAAGTAAGTATAGGATGTCGTGGGAGAATAGAGACTGACCCAGCTTTGGGGGCAGGCTGGGGCCCATTAGGCTACCTGAAAGAGTAGACACATGGTCATAAAATTTGGGGCAGAACTTTGAAACGGGGGAGATGATATAGAATTTGCATGTCTGTGGGCATGGGATAGTAAGAAACACTCTCTTTGGTCTTCTTAAAGAAGGAAAGGGATGGAAAGGAGTTGGGAAGAACAAGGAGCAAGAGACCAGGGAGAAGAGTATTATGTCCTATCCAACATAGGGTCGGGGGAGACTTCCCTGACTAGACTCTCCACACTAGTCTAGGCCAGGTTCTTTGTTCAACACTCCAAAAGGACCATGCTGCTCTCCTTTGGTGCTCTTGTCTTCTTTTGTGATTCTGGATCCATGGCCATGATTATTTGTTTAATATTCATCTTCTCTGATGGACTAGGTTGTTAAAGAGCAGGTGGTGAATCACTATGAATCACTAGCACAAGCATAGTGCCTGGAAAGAGGTGGTTGTTTGTTATGGATTGAATATTTGTGTTCCTTCTGAGATTCATGTTGAAACTTAATCCCCAATGCGAGTATTAAGAGGTTGGGTTTAGGGGGCGATTAGGTCATGAGGCTTCCACCCTTTTGAATGAGTTGGTGCATTATGAAAGGGCTTGAGGAGGCAAGTTTTCCCCTTTTAAACCTTCCACCACGTGAGGACACAGTGTTCCTCCCCTCTAGAGGAAGCAGCAACAAGGTGCCATTTTGGAAGCAGAGAGCAGCCCTCACCAGGCACCTGAACCTGCCAGTACCTTGATCTTGGACTTCTCAGCCTCCAGAACTGTGGGAAGTAAATTTGTGTTGTTTGTAAATTATCCATTCTATGATATTTTGTTATAGTGGCATGAGGACACTAGGACAATGTTTGAGAAACATTTCTTAAATGAATAAATGTGTGGAAATCAGTAAGTCTGTAGGCTTAACTCTCTATAACTGGCCCCAGGGAAAATACAAAGAAGTATGGCCTCAGGGACAGGTGTTGTGCCCTGGTGAGGAGTGCAATTCAATCTGACCAGCGGGTCAATGGAAACCTCCCTGTCCTCCAAACCCTGACTCCTCCAACCAACCACTAAAATCAAGTCTGGCACTGATGGGGAGCATGAAATCAGAAGTCAGCCCCAGTCTCTGTTTAGTGGGACCATCAAGATACCCACAGAAGAGGCAGCAGGGGCATAGCCTTGGGGTCTGGTAGACCCTCCTGTGGCTGCTCCCTCCATAGAAGGATATTTTTAAAAATAGGAGAGACCAATGGGGTTGAGGAGGATATTTATTAATTATTTAGGTGCACTGGTCCAGTTGGATTAACATCCAAAGGACTGAGCCCTGAACTATGAAATCAGCGGAAGTCACTTGAAAGTCATTTCCACCTTCAAAATGTATTGATAATTGGACCACCCCTTGTCATCACCATTATCACCACCCTAGTCCAGCCCCATTCCATCTCTGAAATGATCTAGGGCTTCAGAGTCCAATATGGTTGCCATGATCTATACATGACTACTGAGTACTTGAAAAATGGTCATATGTGTGAGATGAGCTAGAATTGTAATACACTGGATTCAATTAATTGAGACATGCATTATATCATTTCTTACTTTTCAAGGAAAAACATGTTTTACAACTTGAGTTTATCTGTCTAGTGACCTTGCAGCTGCACAGCTAGAGAAACAGGGTCTTCACAATGCCTGAGAAAGGAGGAGAGATAAGGCTCACTAGCCACAGAAAAACAGGCAGTTAATTTTTAAAGGACTCCAGCTCTTTCTCTTTCTCAGGGGGAATTGGGTTTTCTTACATACAACTGAGTTTCTGCTTACACATTCTTTAATTTCTTTGAATTCCTGTTCCACCTCTGGATCTTCTTCAGCAGCAGGGGCAGGCCAGGTGGCAAAATTAAAGAATTTTAGAAAGATTAGATACCCTGCTGGAGGTCGGACATGACAGATGTGAGGAAAAGTGGGAAGGGAGGCTTTTTACTGCAGGAGGGTGGATTTGGCTTTTGGCTTATTTACTGTAAAGCCATGTGGAGACAGTGTATGGGAAGCTGGGATTCAGGACAAGTGACAAATGATGATTCCTGGGCACACAGGCTTGGAGTGGGGGTTTGCTGACCACCCCCACCAGAGGAAACAACTGCATCTGTGAGATGCAGTTGCATGGAAAGTGTGCGAGAAAGTAGAAGCCTGTGGATGGGGCTGAGGGGAGAGGCTAAAGATGGGGGTGAAGTGGGATTGACAGAAGAGGAAGGAGTGTGTGACCCAGGGAAGGGAGTCCTGGAATGGTCCAAGCCTGGAAGGCTTCCATCACCAAATGTGAATGAGAATGTGAGAGCATTTGGGGAAAACCCTCCCTCACGGCACAACCTTGGCCAAATCACTTTGCTTCTCTGGGTCTTTATTTTCTTTATTTTTGAAGAATTCAAAGGTATTTTAAACATTTGTTTTGAAAAGTTTTAGACTAGGTGAATACTCAGGTGCCACCCAGTGTTAGTACTCTGAGACCCTTCAGTTGGATAGAGAGGAACTTTGCACAGGGTCTAGAAGGAGAACATCACTTAGTGAGAGGGTAGGAAGGAGGATGTCCCTTGGTGCTAAAGAGTAGCAGTCAAGAGTGTGAGGTTAGAACTTATACTTCTGTGTTCAAATCCTAGCATTGCCACTTACTAATTGTGAGACCTTGAACATGTTACTTAGAATCTTTAAACCTCAATTTCCCAATCAGTAGCATGGGGATAACCATAGCACCCCTCTCCCAGAGTTGGTGAGAGGATTACGTCATCTCATAGCACATGGAAAGCACTTGGCACAATATCTGATGCAGAGTAAGCACTCAGCAAACATTAGCAATAACAGTAATATCATAATTTAGACAGGAGGTAATGATTGCAGCTGACCCACTCTCTGCCACAGCACAATAGGTATAGATTATTTTAAACCAAAGCAGTTTGAGGTTATATTTAGGGGTGGCTTGGTTAGTTAAAGTTGACCAGTGTAAGATAAGGAACCAAGGGAAGTTAAGCAATATCTTCCTCTAAAGGCCTTTGAACTAGACCAAGCTGTTCTGCAAACTAGGCCACTCCCTTAATGCACTCACCTTAATTTGGGACCGCTTCTGATATATATAGTAGTATTAGAATCTCTTAAAAAACCCCAAAAAACCAACAACTAACCGATGAGAACAAAAGCCAAGCATATTTGCTGTTGTGAAAACACTCACCAACTATAATTTTGTTTCAAAATAGCCCACTGAACCACAAGTTGAACTTGAATCATGGCTAGAAAAATTTTAAGGGCTGCTAACCTTGGTCAAAATCCATCAGCCAGCGGCACCTAAGGACAATGA